CTACAAGAAACGACTTATTTAAACTATTATTTCTTCATTTTAATTTGATTTTTAATTACAATAATAAAATATTCCAGCTAAAATAAATAAATAAAGTATCTCTATCGTAAATATGGTAAAATAGTTTTCATTAAAGCTAAACGGTGTGGCTGATATTTAGCACATATTTTTAAGAGGCTTTAAACCATCTTATTTTGAAAGGCCCGTGGCGGAAGTGTTGAGCTCAGGTTTTTTTGGCGGATCTTTGGGAGCAAATGTCCACACAGTCTCTTTATTTACAGTGTTTAACGGAAAGAGTAGCACGCAGCTGGCGTTTGGTTAAATTTAGCGACAGATAGGATTGTAATCTCGGTTTGTAATCTGTTATTTGGTCGTATTTTGGTGCGTTTATCCTTGTTTTAGCTAGCGTTGTTAGCCGTTGGTTGGCCTGTCGCGCGTCGCGGTCAAAGGTAAGAGAACTGCGTAGCATTAGCTGCTAACCAGCTTTATCCTTGTTTAGTTTAGGAAACATGTGTTATGACATGCAAGATGCTGTTTTTGATGCTCTTTAAAGCAAAAAGCTCCTCATACGGAACCAGAGCTGTGGTTTGTGTAACATTAAAGAAGAAGGGGCGTTGTTCGATTTATCGGTATTGCCCCTTAAAGCACCGCTGACCCTGATGTTCCTGGTGCTCAGTGAGTTAATTAAATGTCTTAGTTTGTAGAAAATATTCAGGTCGGTGTCATGTGAGACCTGCAGGCAGTTATCCAGTCTGAAAACCTACATTACAGATGGTTTGGATGAGTAATCGATTAATGCAGTGGATACTGGTTAACTTTATTTTTGATGGGAGTAGTTAATGCATGCTTATAATATTTGAGATGTGAGCCCTACTAATGTTAACTTAAGCTTGTTTAGCTTATGCGGAGTAACATTAAAAGAGTCTTATTTTTATATAGCTGTGGTAGCAGTTAGACTTTTACTAACTTTGTCAAATCTATTTTGCTGAGCTAGTGTTTCCTGAGTTACACGCTTTTAAAATAGTTTGGCTCATATCTGTAGATTAGAAACTGAGTATACATACTATGGTGGAAAGTGTCAGGTGTCGGCCCACCTCTGTCCAGTTGTTCTACACCAGTGCGATGTTTTTGCTGAACCTTATTAGGTTGTTGTAAGCGTATGTGTCCATTATTTTAATAACCACGTTTCTTTGAACTTTTTGAAATCATGCCTGCAGTGAAGTTTAAGCCCTGTTCAAGCTTTCTTGCAGAAATGAATGCACTAGTTGAAAGGCTGAGTTTTGTCCTCTTGAGCACCTGCTGCAGAGTTGACTGTAAAATTGGGTGTTTTCTCGGCACTCTTGATGTTGTAATAAAATGCTGTTCTTTCCTTTAAGGTTGACAAAATGTCAATACCACGGTCTCGATCACCACATTACAGGTAAATACGCTGCACTAACTGTACTTTTATACATCCATTCTAGCGTGTGACTGTAGTGTTTGGTTACTTGGGGAATATTTTATATTGTCTGGTGTCTGTTTTTAGATATTTAAGATATCTAAAATTGTTGCATTTGATGTTCATTTGACGCATGAAGGGGCGTTAACCCTGACATTATAAAAGTATTCTCAAGTGTATTCTTAGAGAGAAGATCTATGCTGATGTGATGCAGTTTACATCTTCCCAGGCGTGTGCTCAATAAATCATCGTTTGACTGAACTCTTCTGGGCCAGTGTTGGTTTTGTTCCTTGCCTCAATATTTTTGAATCGGGACAACTGCAATGCTCTGTTCACGGGAACATTGCAAAGCACCGTAACCAACTTTATCTGGCAGAGTTCTTAGTTAAAGAGAAAAAAAATCTGACCATGTCACAGCTGCACTGAGGTCATTATTTTGGCTTCCAATTAGCCTTAAAGTTGGTTTTAAAATTTGAAAAGTTGATTTTAATGTCCTGTATGGTGTGAAACCTTAATATTTCTCAAGCAGTTTTATATTTTATAGTTTAAATAGTTCTGACACGCTATCATCTGTTATTGGGTGTACTCCAACACAGCTAAACTCACAAGTGTTCAATTTCTACTAATTTTATTGATTTTAAGTTACTGTTCTTGTCATTTTTACTGGTATATTGTTGTTTTTCATTACATCATTAGATTTTTAGAAATGAATCAGATTTTTTAAAACTGGTAATTGCAGTCCTTATTGTTTTGAATATACAGTGGAACCCCGACTTACAAAATTAATTTGTTCCAGGGGGACTTTCGTAAGTCAAAATTTTCATAAGTCAAAGCACCTTTTTCCATCGCCTTTTGAGTGAGGCGATGCTGGCTGAAGATGAAGTTCTTGGTGGAGGAGGAGGTGGCGGAGGTTGGAGAAAGCATACGTATGCATACATACGTACGTGTACATGTACATAACATTATGGGATTTAATTAAATTCTTTTAAAAATTTCTATTTCATCTATTTCGTTACGCGGGCATTCGTAAGCCAGGGTTCCACTGTACTTATTTGCTTATTTTCTTACACTATCTTGCTAGTGTTCTAGATTGTACTTCCAAGTGAAGTTATGCTTCCCAAAAATTGATTTAAAATTATTTTCTAGATGCTGATGTATTAATTCCGGTGCTATCTGTTTCTAAAATGATATATATATATATTTTTTTTTTTCTATGTTCACTTTTTCAGGAGGTTGCCATTGGAGGAACCTGGCTTTGATCCACACAGACCAAGTGGAGATCTGGATGGGATTTCTATAGACAGAAGGGAACGC